GTTTTAGTGTAACAAAGGCCAGGAACAACAATACAAGCTACCGCAGGGGTGACTTATATGAGCTACAAGGAGGGCACTTGCAAGCAATGGGAGGAAGCGATGAAGCACCGACGGCACACCACATGCTTATATAGGCAAGAGCTAGAGGCTTGGACGAGGCATGGACGCCTCTACCACCACCGGGTGCAAGGACCTCATCAATGGGAGTGGGGTCCAACCTAAATAAGGTGTGCATGCACGCTTGGATGGCTGTCTGAGTACAAATGCCGATGCATGTTCCTCGAAGAGGGAGCTGTTCTTCATGCACTGATAGCAAGGAGGCCAATCACTAGATGGACCCACCTACTCTCGCCTATGCTGTGCGTGTGAATTTTTTTAACCGAAGGCACATGAAGCTTAGCATGCATGTGTAAAAGAAGTACTATTTTACCTCCAACAAAATATTTAAGAGGCACTATTAGGTAGCTACGGTGCACATGTTCATGGTAAATCTAAATGGCAAGAACACCTACAATTTTTAAATAGTCTAGGGAACACTGTGCATGCAGGAAAGTTTACCACATTGTCTTGAGCAAAGTACACCTACAGTTTATATTGTCCTTGCATCCATGGTCATTCAATTTTTCATCCACTTCATTGAATGCGTCCACTTGCTTCATCTATCCACTGACGAATGCATGGAGGAAGGCTGGTTGTGACGCGCTCCATCTGAGTCGTGGAATTTCCATCTAACGCACCAACTAAATGGAACATACGTGGACACCCTGGGAGGCTGCCTTGATGGCGTGCCTTCATATTTGCACATGTTCATGGTAAATTTGAATGGTAAGAACACCTACAATTTTTAAATAGGCTAGGGAACACTCGTGCATGTAAGAAAGTTTATCACATTGTCTTGAGCTACCTGTAAATTTTTAACCATGGATGATGTAAATCCCTGCTGACGGGTAAATTTTCTGCAGGCAAAGAGGCCCTTGCTATGGTCTCACCTGGGGTTGCTGCTACAGTGCACATATTCATGGTAAATCTGGATGGTAAGAGCACCTACACTTTTTATATAGCCTAGAGAACACTTGTGCATGCATGAAAATTTACCACATTAGCTAAATGGACCACAGGCCTCACCTCGGGTTGCTTCCTTCCCTGTAAAAACTGGGTGGCAGTAAGTTCCTCTATGTAAAAGGACAAGGCACAGTGATGTAAATTCCCATGATAATTTTCTGCATGCAAAGGACAACTACAGTTTTAGATGGTGCTTGCATGCATTCTCAATCAATTTTTTATCTGCTCCATTCAATGCATCCACTTGCTTCAGCCTACCATGGCATGCATGGAGGTACGACTTCATGTGGGTCATGGAGGCACTACTTCATCTAGGTCGTGGAACTTCTATCTAATGCACCAACTAAATGGAACATACGTGGACACCCTAGAAGGCCGCCTAGATGGCGTGCCTTCATATCTCACACCCTGGGAGGCTGCCTTGATGGCGTGCCTTCATATTTGCACATGTTTATGGTAAATTTGAATGGTAAGAACACCTACAATTTTTAAATAGGCTAGGGAACACTCGTGCATGCAGGAAAGTTTACCACATTGTCTTGAGCTACCTGTAAATTTTTAACCACGGATGATGTAAATCCCTACTGATGGGTAAATTTTCTACAGGCAAAGAGGCCCTTGCTATGGTCTCACCTGGGGTTGCTGCTACGGTGCACATATTCATGGTAAATCTGGATGGTAAGAGCACCTACACTTTTTATATAGCCTAGAGAACACTTGTGCATGCATGAAAATTTACCACATTGGCTAAAAGGACCACAGGCCTCACCTGGGGTTGCTTCCTTCCCTGTAAAAACTGGGTGGCAGTAAGTTCCTCTATGTAAAAGGACAAGGCACAATGATGTAAATTTTCATGGTGGTAACTTCCTGCATACAAAGGACACCTACAGTTTTAGATGGTGCTTGCATGCATGCTCAATCAATTTTTCATCTGCTCCATTCAATGCATCCACTTGCTTCAGCCTACCATGGCATGCATGGAGGTACGACTTCATGTGGGTCAAGGAGGCACTACTTCATCTGGGTCATGGAATTTCTATGTAACGCACCAACTAAATGGAACATACGTGGATACCTTGGGAGGCCGCCTAGACGGCGTGCCTTCATATCTCTAATGTAAGTGTTGGTTGATTGGATGGGAGTTGAGCAGGGTTTTTAGAGGGACTGTTGTCGAGCCATGGTGTGGTGTCCATGGCATGAATACGATTGTGTAGTTGCAGACGACAACAAAGCCCTTTCTGAGCATGCGGATTTTTGCATCGGATGAGTGTACCTGCACAAAGTAATCTGGACCGTACTTTGATGTGTCTTCTATGTGGATGTCCACCTGGAATTGTTGCTGGATTGCATCCGTCAAGTTTTGGTGGTTGATTGCATCTGCGACTGATGATGGAAACTTTGCAATCAGCGCGTTGCCAAAAGAACTGCGATCCACGACTTTGAGGTCTGCTTCGTCGAGGATTCTCAGGTTTGGGTAACGGTTATTGGCCATCTTGGTGGTACTGCAGATGTATAGATGATTTGTATTTAGTAACTTGACATATGGTGGATATAATCGTAATTATGAAAAGTAATGAGGAATGCAGGCTTGACATATGGATATAATCGTAGTTATGTATGTGAGAATTATCTTTGGCAGAGAAAGAAACAGTTAAGTGATTTATGCTTCTGTAAGCAGTACTTCAGTAGATCAATATTCCTTAGCGTTTCCTACTAAACTTAATAGCTTTTTGGAAGCTCTGCAAACAAACCAAATCGGATTTTATACCTGCTTTGCTGGTAGGTGTTAGGCCTCAGTTTTTACTCGGAGGCGGTGACTGCCATCCTGTTTAAGCAAAGGATTTGTGTAAGCCATAGCTGAACTGATGGTAAATGTAATTATCATGTATAATAGGACGGTAGTGGACGTGACATAAACTGTTCAGAATAGAATGGCTAATGTGGGATTAATAAGTCTGCTCTGATAAACATGAGCAATATGCTATCTAAGAAAATAATAGTACTGAACAATGTAGGATTGATAAACCAAAATTTGTGAGGTAATAGTAACCTAAATTGGGTGGTAGGTATTATGAGCAATCGTGTTGTTCAACGGTCCTCTGAATTTAGAGGCTGTAGGTATAGTATACTAACAGATATAGTTTGATCTAGCTATACCACTGTGTAGATGGCAGGAAAAAAGGAGGTGTACCTTAATAGTTGTTGCTTTAAGTGGGCAGGGATATATGTAAACTGAAATTTAGAGCAAACGAAAATATGACCGCAGAGTAATATGGACCAGTGAGTGGACACGTGAAACACTAATTGGTACCAGAAATATTCTTGCAAAGAGAACCTGAGGAGGGGTAGAAGTAAGAATGTCGATTGAGTAGTTTAAGTACCTTAGGGCGGAGTCGGTGCTGATTAGGGCCACGGGTGGTGATACTGAACGGGTTTCATGAGATGAATGTCGCGGAGGCCGGAGGGGGGTAGGGGGGGGGTGCTGTGGTCGTGTGGATTCGTTACTGAGTTACCAGATCTGGGAAGGAGAGGTGGGGAGCACGGGATGGTAAGTGCCAAGGATGGAGGGAAGCAGCGGTGAAGCCATGGATGGCGCAGTATATATAGTGGAGTGGAGCGGGAGCAGCGAGGTAGCAGTAGACAGTGAGTGGGTAGGTGGAAGTAGTAAAGTGGAAGGGTGAGGAGAATGAGGATGCTTTAGGGTGGCTGTGTCGAGAGAGATCTGGGTACTATCGACCGGTGTTGGGCCCAATATCTCCTCTTTTTTCTTTTCTTTTTTCGGTCTCTTTGGCTTTTTTTTCTTAGCGTTTGTGTGCTATTTTATTATAGGATAATTGTCAAAATTTGAAAGTTCTTACTATGAGTAAACAGTGTTTATTATATTTTCACCTTTCTCTCGTTTCCCCTTCCCTTTTTGAGGCTTAAAAGGGGGAAAAAAGGGAGTTCAAACAAAAAAAGGGGAAAAAAAGAGGGACAAAAGGTAAAAAACACATACTTTGATTACATGAACTAAGCGACATTTATGGTATGTGGTACATGAAAAATGGGTACGTACATATAAACTTGGACATACACACACACACATATATATATATATATACATATATATATATACACACACATATATATACATATATTAGTGTCATGATTAATTATACGGTATAGGTGCACAAAACCTGTACATAAGGTTTTATGGTACATGATAACTGAACATATCTAATATATACATATATATGTTCCATGATAGATTATACGCTATATTTACACAGATACTATACACAGAACTGCTGTTGCAGGAATTGTTCATCTAAATATGTCTTTAAATAGGCTTGTTGAACATGGCATATCCTGTGTCCTGTCTCCCTGCTGATGAATGTGATGTGGATAGATGGTTCCCTGATCTGATATGAACACTGATCATGTCAAAGTTTATTTATCTTGGTTGCAATACATATAAGTGGCTTATGTAGATATAGATATAGTTATATAAATCGCTGCTTTTTTTTGGCTGACATAGCGTTACCTGATAAATCTGCAAGATTTGGTCTCCATCACTTGTAATTAATCTGTGGGTGGTGTCGTTCTGGAAGGTCGTATTGCCCGGCTCCAGCGATAGTACGACGCTGTTGGAGAGTATATTTTGATGTGAGCAGCATGGTACTCTTGCTGCAAAATATGTAGAGTTATTATGTTCTATGGGTAGTTATGGGATTGAAGTATGCATGTATTCAGTAGATTATCTTGCAGTTGTCAAAAGATTGGCATAAGTTGTTCATGCTTGTGCAATGTTGATCCAATGTCTGGAAAAGCTTAGTTGTTGCTTCGTCGTGACGCCGAAAGTCGCGGGTATTTAGTTCCTGCAGATTCACCGCTTGGTATGTGTGGGCTATATTTTTGTACACTTTATCTAGCTGTCTCATGCTAATTTTACTGAACAACTAAAACATGTTGATACGTGCATTCCATGTATCTATGTCAGATACTAATTTTGCGAGAGTTGTGAAATTGAGGTCAACTATCTTGTATCCCTGAACATTGGTAATGTGCTTTAGAGAGTAATAAATTGCAGCTGCTTCCATTGCTGTTGCGGTTTTCTCGTGGTCCCCATAATACCTGAGTGTGAAGTTGCCTATTGTAATGTATGTTTCAAACCTGTTCTCCTGTCTCTTTAGAGTCTCAATAAGATGTTTGGTCCTGTGAATCTTGTCAACAGCACTATTGAAAATGACCTTTAAGCGATCTGCATATGTTGGGGGAACCGGTATCTGTGGCATAAATAATGACATTATATTGCGAAAGCCAATAATATAATTTTTCTCGTTATAAGAAATAGAAAGGTACAATATGCTGGGGAAGCTAACGATGTAATAGTTGGATAATTGTTATTACCTCAGTAGAGGGTGGGCCATCTTTGAAAACTTCGAGGTCCAAAGGTGGATCAATATGTTTAAGGAGTGAAGTTGCAAGTTGGTTGAGGTCTGCTAATGATGTATATCTGTATACTGGACAGCACTCTTGAGGCTGTTAAGAAGCATGGTTGTGTGGTAACATGCTGAGAGTGGCCACGGTATGCGACGGCTGGATGTATGTGCTGACATCTGAGATATGTGTTTCTGTAGTAGAATAAAAATCATGTAACGTTTGTTTTCGATTGTGGCGGTAATGTTTTTGGACTGTGAAAATACTGGCTTTGGTCCGGTAGAAGTCTCGGAGTTCAGTGATCAGTAGGTAGCTGTGATCCGGCGCTCCGAGGTCATAGTTTCTTGGTATTGTAGCTGCAGAAGTATCCTTTAGTCGATTGGTGCCTGTGTACAGGTGTAGTGCAATATATATTAGAGCTGAAGGGAGTATATATACTGTGAAATACTCATGTATATTACAAACCTGGATTTTTTTTTTACACAACAGGCAGTATTCACTACCGGACAGAGCATCTTTGCCGAGGGCCTGAGGATTTGCCGAGGGAAAATGCTCGGGCACTCGGCAAAGAGTCTTTGCCGAGGGCCTGACCCTCGGCAAAGAACAGCCCTCGGCAAAGACTCTTTGCCGAGGGCCAGACCCTCGGCAAAGACAAGCACACGGCAACAATAATTATTTGCCGAGGGCTAAACCCTCGGCAAAGGCCCGGTCCTCGGCAACACCGCCTGACACGATGTCCATCCCCTACCATCAATCTTTGCCGAGGGCATCACCGTTAGGCCCTCGGCAAAGACTTTTTAACCGTTTTTGAAATTTTTCTTTTAAATTTTTTTTTCCCGAGTGCCTCTAGGCTAGCACTCGGCAAAGACAGTCTTTGCCGAGTGCCAACCTTGGCACTTGGCAAAGAAAACCTTTGCCGGCGCCCAGTCCGCAGCGCTTCGGCAAAGAATTAAAAAAAACCTTTGCCGAAAGTGCACCGGGCACGGCACTCGGCAAATCTTTCAACCTAAAGGCCCGAAATGGGCGGGCCCAACCCCCCCTCCTCACTCGTCTCCCACCCGCCCCCGTCGCCGCGCGCCATACCGCCGACCCGCCGTCGTCCCCCCTCCGGGCGAGTCCCCTGCCGAGCCCCTGACTGCGCCCGCCCCGTCCGCCAAGCGCTTCGCCCAGCCCGGCCCTGCGCTCCCGCCAGCCCGGCGACCTCTGCCTTCCACCCAATGGCCTGCGCCCGCGCCCTGTGGCCTCAGCGCCCGCCCCGGACCCAGCGCCCGCCCCAGTCCCCGACCGCCGCCCCAAGCTCGCCGGTGCCCCAGTTCGAGCTCCCCGGGACACAATGACCCAGGCTGGCCCCAGCTCCCCCGCCCCCGGCTCCACCGAGCCCCTGCCCGTGCCCTCTGACCGGCCAGCAGAGGGAGAAGGAGAGGAGCAAGAGGAAGAAAGAGAAGGGGGAGGAGGAAGAAGAGGAAGGTCTTGACCCGACCGCCTTGTCGATCCTCGCGCCGTTCGACCGCCTGCTGATCCTCGTGCTGCTGCAGTCATCCCATCCATCGTCATGACCCCCTCGCTCTTGCTGTTCTTGCCGCCAAGGTAAGCCCTACCCTTGTAGTGTTAGTAGTAGTAGTAGTAGTTAGTAGTGTTAGTTGTAGTGTTAGTAGTGTTAGTTGTAGGGTTAGTAGTAGTAGTAGTTAGTAAATAGTAGTAGTTAGTAAGTAGTAGTGGTTGTTAGTAGTAGTTAGCAGTGTTAGTTGTAGGCTTAGTAGTAGTAGTAGTTAGTAAATAGTAGTAGTTAGTAAGTAGTAGTGGTTAGTAGTAGTAGTTGTTAATAGTTAAGTAGTTCTTAGTATTAGTACTGTTAGTAGTTAAATAGTTGTTAGTAGTAGTGTTAGTAGTAGTTGTAGGGTTAGTAGTAATTGTTGTTGTACTACTTCAATACTTTCATCTGCATGGAAAGAGAACTAAAGTACATGGCTCCTCTTGATATATTGGTGGTTGTTGGCCTTCGTGCCCATGTTTGGTATATATGTGGTTGTTGGCCTTTGTGCCATGTTTTTGCAGAGTTTTGGGAACCTCCCGTGCAGGGGAGGTGTCTTTGCTTTTGAGTCGACGGCGGTAACCATTTTGCCCTTTTTGCGGGAGGACACATGGGAGGGACTCGGCGACCCGATTGTCTTCGTGTGCGCTGCGGTCTTCCCGCACCCGCGTCGACTCGCCATCGCACCGACTCTCCACCACCCCTACCACCCCGACCTCACCGGCACCCTAGGTATAACCCCTCTATCCGTATGTGGTCTTTGGTCGCAGAACCTAGTTAGGTGTCTCCCATCCGAAAGAGATACAGATTGGAGTATCTGAGATCTTTATATATCTCGCAACCGTATCTGCTTTGGATTGTCCACGCTTTTTGGACAGCTGCGGATGCATAGATGGGTTAGTTTCCATGGTTCGCTCCGGTCCGAGATGGTGTTTCGGCATCACCCCCTGTTGTTCTCCAGATACACACTCTCCCTTGCAGGACGTGCATCGGGAGAACAGCGGGGAGGTGCTGCCAAAATTCTGTCTCGGATAGGGAGCGGAGCATGGAAACTAACCTCATCTACGCATCCGCGGGTGGGATTAGGACCTATCCTCACCTATTAGAGAGTAGGAACACCGCGTAGATGCAATTGATGGTTACATTACTATGTGCTGTATATGTGGAAGGATGGAAGACCGTCGGATGGGATGTACAGGGTCGGAGAAGCGGGAGTGACTTTGACATTGAGTGGGTGAATGGGACGAGATGCTTTCTTGGAACATGCATGGAGCTCGGGTGTAGCTAAAGGACATTCTAAACTTTGGTGTCCCCAGTAGCAAATGTGACAACGACAGAAGGGTAGACAAGGTGGGTAAACATCTTGTGTACAATGGTTATACGGCTGGCTACCACCGGTGGATCCACCATGGTGAAGCAGATCGTATAAGAGCGGAGGTGGTGAGACCACGCCTCGAGGCTTTTGACGATGATGCCGAGATAGCGTACATGCTAGATGACACTCACCAAGCTCACTTCGCAGAAGGACGTGAGAAGGAGGAGATGGAGGAAGCCGCTAAGGCCTTCTATGAAATGTTGGACTCGGCACAGAAACCCCTTCATGAGAGTACAACGGTTTCTCAGCTGGATGCCATTGGACGTGTTATGGGGTTGAAGGCCGAGTTAAATCTGAGTCGCGAAGGCTTTGATAAGATGTTGGCCGTGTTTGGCAGCATGCTACCGGAGAAGCACATTCTGCCGAAGAACTTGCATGAGTCACAGAAACTACTTCGTATGCTTAAGATGCCATATGACAAGATACATGTTTGTCCGAAGGGGTGCGTCTTATTTAGGAAAGATCACAAGGATGCAAAGTACTGTCCGAAGTGTAAATCCTTAAGGTACCTAGAGGTAGACTCTGGAGATGGCCAGAAGAGGCAGCTTACGATCCCCGCGAAAGTCCTATGGTACCTTCCGTTTGTGCCGAGGATCCAACGGCTTTTCATGACCAAGGAATCCACGAAACAGATGACATGGCATAAAGAAGGTGTACGGTACAAGCCATGGACGATGGTGCATCTGTCCGATGCCGAAGCATGGACATACTTTAATGACAAACATCCTGACAAAGCAGCTGAGGCTCATAATGTACGTGTCGCACTGGCAATAGATGGGTTCAATCCTTATGGACAGTTGTCTGCCCCATACACATGTTGGCCCGTGTTTGTTATCCCCCTGAATCTCCCCCCCCCCGGCATCTCCTTTCAACGGCATAACGTCTTCTTGTCGTTGATAATTCCTGGACACCCGGGGAGTAATATGGGTGTGTACATGGAGCCTATGATTGATGAATTGATCGACGCTTGGGAGAAGGGGGTATGGACATACGACCGAGCTACAAAATCATCCTTCAAGATGAATGTTTGGTACCACTACTCCCTGCATGACTTCCTGGCGTATGGGTTATTCACCGCCTGGTGTGTCCACAGGAAGTTCCCATGCCCAATATGCAAGGAAGCTGTGAGGTTCATTTGGTTGAAGAAGGGTGGCAAGTATTCATCGTTCGACAGGCATCGTCAATTCCTCCCTTCTAACCATCCATTCAGACAAGACATCAAGAACTTTACGAAAGGTGTTGTAGTGATAGACCCTAAACCGTGCATGAAGAGTGGTGCTGAGGTGCGTGCTCAGATAGATGCTCTCGTGCCCAATGAAGGAGGTGGTTTTGTGGGATATGGTGAGGAACATATGTGGACTCATAAGTCCAGCTTGACGAGGCTCCCCTATTTCGATGACCTTCTTCTGCCACATAACATTGATGTAATGCACACCGAAAAGAATATCGCCGAGGCACTTTGGGGAACTCTCATGAACACTGACAAGTCTAAGGACAACGTTAAGGATAGAGTGGACCTAGTGACGTTGTGTGATAGACCAAAGCAAGAGATGCGGCCTCCTAGTGGCCAAAACAAATAATGGAAAAGACCTAAGGTCGATTTTGTCTTGGAACCCGATCAAAGGAGGGAAGTACTAAAATGGATCAAGACGTTAATGTTCCTAGATGGATATGCAGCGAATCTGAGCAGGGGAGTGAACTTAGGCACTTTACGAGTCAACGGGATGAAGAGTCATGACTACCACATATGGATTGAGCGGCTTCTTCCGGTGATGGTTCGAGGCTATGTCCCTAACCATGTCTAGCAAGTGCTGGTAGAGTTGAGCTTTTTCTTCCATCAGCTTTGTGCCAAGGAGATATCTTGGACCGTCGCTCAGGACGTGGAAAAAGCGGCACTTGTGTTGCTCTATAAGCTGGAGAAGATCTTTCCACCCGGCTTCTTCTTGCCCATGCAGCATCTGATTGTGCACCTCCCATCCGAGGCACGTTTGGGGGGCCCGTGCAAGCCCGGTGGTGCTATCCAATCGAGAGATGTCTAAAGACTCTTCGCAAGAAATGTACAAATAAAGCTAGAATTGAGGCTT